CAGCTTTAAATATGTTGCCCGGTTTTGTTTCTAAGAGAGGTAAACTTAGGCTAGGACATTTGGCTAAATCCTATTTTCCTGTGCCTTGTGCTGTGCACACGTTCATGGTGACAGACCTTTGCATGATATTTTGCATGATCTACTGGGATATTGTAAGCATACCAAACCTCACCTATGAAGCAGGCCATTATTTTGTTGTTCCATCACTGCACTTCCATTACTGGAGAGATGGCCACATCTACTCAGGAAGATAATTACATCTACTCCCCGAGTCACGTTCTTGGATTGGAGCTGTTATGCCTATCAACACTTATGCCACACTTATTTATTGCAGTTGTTGGTTTCATGGATTGGCTGAAAGGAAGATCTGTAACTACCACTGACCAAATCATTGTGGCTCTTGGAATAGCCAGGGTCATTTTTCAGGTTTCAAGTATAATTTATATTTTTGTGGAATTTTTTAGTCAAAGAAACATGATGCTTAGGATAGTACTAGGATGCACTGAGTTTATGATAGTCTCATCCAACTACTGCACCATATGTTTGTTGAGTCTACTCTCAGCCACCTACTGTGTGAACATCTGTAGTTTCCATAATGTCATCTTTCAATGCCTAAGGAAGTTAGTCGTACAGAAGACTATCTATTTAATCATGACTATTGTTTTGGTGGCTGTTCTTCTTCATTCTGCACTCCTTTGCGACTTGAATTTTAATCAGTCCAAAAACTTTACAAGTTATAAAATAATTGATGACAGGGAAGCAGCAAAATACATATATTATTTTGTTGGTGGGATCTGGGCACCATTTCTAGTACAATTTGTTTCTTCTTCCCTTCTAATTGTCTCTCTGTACAGTCACCTACAGAGGATAAAATTCAGCAATTTTTTAAATACGCAAATTGATCCAATTTACAATGTCCTAAAACACATGGCTTTCAGTCTTTTTTGCTTTGCCTTACAAATTTTCACTCTAGTGATTATTACGTATTTTTACTCGTCAGTTGGTTCAGTTTTGTATAGTGTCATTTGGAATGTGTTACCATGCTTTCATTCTTGTTTTCTGATTTATTCAACAACCAAGCTAAGGAGTCACTTTCACAACTTAATTGAGTGTGGAACAAACTGCCTGCTCAAGAGAAGAGCTTCTTAACCACCGAAGACCTGGTAGTATCTGTCTTTTCAAGACTCATTACCATTAGATTTCTAAAACAACCAAGTTAAATGGATTTGTCCTAAAGGATAATCTATCATAGCAAAAAAAACTGCCTATTTAAAAGCACTTTGCATTCTTAACAAACCTGGTGGAAGTTGTTGGTTCAAAATGCAATACCTTTTTAAGATTTCTGACAATATTGTATACAATAAAAAACAACAATGTAGCTTGTGCACTGTTGGGGAACACCATCCAAAATTAATTTCTCCACTTTGGGTATAATGGACAGACTTTAGTACTTCAAAAACTGTCATCTTGAACTCATATAGTGAGATGTTCCCAACTAGACTAGGGATGGTTGTGGCCAGATGAGGGCTTAGATGGAAGTCAAAATGATCTGCTTTCTTTATTCTGCCTTACACATATTTTTTTTTAACTTTGCATGTTGTTATTTGAGATATGCCTCCATATCTTAATTCTATGCATCTGATTTATTTTTAAGCTATCGCCTGTCTGGGATAACATGGTATAGAAAAAAACTGCCTGTTCAAGAGAAGCGCTTCTCAATCTCCAAAGAGCTGGTGGTGCTCTTCTGTTCAAGACTCATTAACCATTTTATAACTTCTTTTTTCTCAAAAAACTTTATTGAGTATAAAGAGAAAGCAATACACTTAATGAACATAAACTGTATGGGTAGGTTGCATGAACATACAAAACTCCATGAAACAAGTATACACTGAAGTGAATACACCAGTAGAAATGCCCAAATGGGCTGTATAAACAAAATAAAATGGGAGACTAAAATGAATCTAACTGATGTGAAAACAACAAAAAAGAGAGGTGTAAACGAGGTTACCAACGTTAGATCCTCTGTCTCAGCACTCATTTGGATAGCCACGCATGGACTATGACTAGCGTTTACCAAAAGACTGCAAGACCCATATCCGTTTACCCATGCTAAGCTCTAAACTGCTTCTTGTTTCTTGACTAGAGGTGTCCTGGGTGCCCAATTAAACTGCTTCTTGTTTCTTGACTAGAGGTGTCCTGGGTGCCCAATTGGCCTGTTGAGCATTTTATAACTTCTAACAGATCTGTCTGACTAGACAACATTTTACACAACAATAATAATAATGAAGCTCATGAGCACTCTTGGGGAACATTATCCAAAATGAATTACTTCACTATGAGTAAAATAGACTGGCTTTAATACTTTAAACACTGTAGTCTGGAACTCATGCATTGAGATGTCCCCTAACTAAGGATGGTTGTGACAAAATGGAGCCAAAATAGAAGTTGAGACATCTGTCTGTTTTCCATATTCTGCCTTAAAAACTGTCACTGAGCTAGTTATACCATACATTTTATTCAGCATTTGGTTTAACGCTGTATGTTGTTATTTAGAATATATTTCCATGCCTACATTCAATGTACATGATTTATAATTGTATATGATTTATGTTCTCCATGTGCCTGCGTGGGTTTTCTCTGTGTACTCCAGTTTCCTCCCACACTCCAAAGACATGCTGGTAGGTTAAACAGATCCTGTCTAAATTGTCCCTAGTATGTGTATGTATGAATGTAAGTCAAGGACCTTAGATTGTACACCCCTTGAGGGTTAGGGACTGATGTGAATTTACAATATATATGTAAAGCACTGCGTAAATTGACGGCGCTATATAAGTACCTGTAGTAATACAATAATAATAATAAAACAAAAAAGCTGAATGAATCACTTATCTAGCATAGTATGGCATATAAAAATGGTTGCTCAAGAAAAGATGTCAAGACCTGGATCAGCCACTGGTGGCACTGTGCTTCCCAAGAAGGTTGTAATAACGTCCACCAGCAGGTGTCTCCCAAAAAAGCCCAGTAATCAGTTTCCACTTGATGCTGGCTGCTGGGAGGTTGTTTAGGTCCTCTCCTATTAGTGTCTCTTTCTCCAGTGCTTTGCTTGCTGCCAAATAGTGCTTGCCATTATCCTGTTCCTGTTCCTGTACCTTATACCCTGTACCCTGTACCCAGTGCCCTGCTGCTTTATACCTGCTCTTCCTTGTTCTGTTTCCCAGTTTGGGTTCCCCCCTCTCAACTGCTCCCTGCACCTCCAGTTTCCCCTGCTTCTCTGTGTTCCTTATTTTGTATATATTGTATATGCCTAGTTGTTAGTTAGGTGTTCTGTTTGTTAGATTGATTAGTTAGGTATTCTGTCACTGGGTTTTTGGTTTACTTGTATTTTTATGTTTGCTGTTTGCTGTGTGATGGTGTTTGGATGGATTTTGTTTCACTGTAAAGTAACCTCACTAAAAGCATACACAGTCTGGTCACAGTTTCCTGAGTGTAGTCACGCAGATTTGGCCATCCCTTCTGCTGCTTCTTCCTTACAAAAGAACTTCTTGACCTCAAGAGACCTGGTGGAACCCATTGGTTCCTTAACCATTGTATAACCTCTAACACACCTGTTTGACCAGTCAATTTTTAGAGTAACAACAACAATACAACTCATGTATGCTGTTGAAGAACATCATCCAAAAATAATTTCCTCACTTTGGGTATATAGTAATGGAATGGCTTTAAATCCTCAAATTTGTGTCTGGATCTCCTGCAGGGGGATATTCCAAACCAAACCAGGGATGGTCATGACAAGATGGGAGCTTTGATGGAATTCAGACTGCTGTCAGTTGTCTATGTTTTGCATTGAAAATTGTGACTGTGGTAGTTAATATGACATGTTTTAATATGTAAATTGGCTTATCTTTTAGGTTATTTGATGTGTTTAAATGCCTTCATTCTATTTATCTGCAGTATATTCATTCTATTTAATCTATATGTAAGTGATATACCGTATTTTTCGCTCCATAAGACGCACTTTTTTCCCCCAAAAAAAGGGGGGAAAATGTCAGTGCGTCTTATGGAGCGAATATAAAGCGGCCGGTCCGGTATTTTTGCGGCCACCATGTCAGAATACCGGGCCGGCCGCTCAGCTGTTATCGCCTGCAGAGCCTTACCTGTTCCTCGCTCCAGCGCTGCACAGTCTTCCCGCGCTGGCTTCTGTGACAGCCGGGTGCCCACTGCGCATGTGCGGCGCTTTGTGAATGATTCGGTGTCTTCTGGGACACATGAAAGGTCCCAGAAGGCGCCGGGCCATTCACAAAGCGCAGTGCTTCTCGCACATGCGCAGTGGGCACCGGGCTGTCACAGAAGCCGGCCCGGGAAGAAGAGGGAAGGCAAGTCCGCGGAAGTGGGAGTGAGTACCTGTCAAATTCAGGTACCCGCTCCCCCTCCCTCCCCAAACGTCAGCAGTCTCTGGTCATTCCCTTCACTGTCCGCAGTCTCTGGTCATTCCCTGCACTGTCCGCAGTTTCTGGTCATTCCCTGCACTGTCCGCAGTCTCTGGTCGTCCCCTGCACTGTCCGCAGTCTCTGGTCATCCCCTGCACTGTCCGCAGTCTCTGGTCATCCCCTGCACTGTCCGCAGTCTCTGGTCATCCCCTGCACTGTCCGCAGTCTCTGGTCATCCCCTGCACTGTCCGCAGTCTCTGGTCATCCCCTGCACTGTCCGCAGTCTCTGGTCATCCCCTGCACTGTGTCCGCAGTCTCTGGTCATCTCCTGCACTGTGTCCGCAGTCTCTGGTCATCTCCTGCACTGTGTCCGCAGTCTCTGGTCATCTCCTGCACGGTGTCCGCAGTCTCTGGTCATCTCCTGCACTGTGTCTGCAGTCTCTGGTCATCTCCTGTATTGTGTCCGCAGTCTCTGGTCATCTCCTGCACTGTGTCCGCAGTCTCTGGTCATCTCCTGTATTGTGTCCGCAGTCTCTGGTCATCTCCTGCACTGTGTCCGCAGTCTCTGGTCATCTCCTGCACTGTGTCCGCAGTCTCTGGTCATCCCCTGCACTGTGTCCGCAGTCTCTGGTCATCTCCTGCACTGTGTCCGCAGTCTCTGGTCATCTCCTGCACTGTGTCCGCAGTCTCTGGTCATCTCCTGCACTGTGTCCGCAGTCTCTGGTCATCCCCTGCACTGTGTCCGCAGTCTCTGGTCATCCCCTGTACTGTGTCCGCAGTCTCTTGGTCATCCCCTGTACTTTGTCTGCAGTCTCTGGTCATCTCCTGTACTGTGTCCGCAGTCTCTGGTCATCCCCTGTACTGTGTCTGCAGTCCATTGGTTCAGAATATTTTTTTTTCTTGTTTTTCACCTCTAAAACCTAGGTGCGTCTTATGGTCAGGTGCGTCTTATGGAGCGAAAAATACGGTAAGTAAAGGTTTGTTGGGTAAGGTATTTCTTTTTGCTGATGACACAAATGTGTACAATGGGGTTGATATCCCTGGAGGTGTATGTAACATGGACCATGATTTGGCATTGCTGGAAGATTGGTCAAAAAAGTGCAAATTGCAGTTCTATGTTTCTAAATGTAAAATAATGCACATAGGGAAAAATAATCCCTTGAGAGAGTACAACAATGGGGATGCAGTGTTGGCCAGCACTACAAAGGAAAAGGATGGGGGGTACGTATTTCAGATGATTGCAAAATGAGCAAACAGTATGGCCAGGCAGTGGGGAAAGCGAATAGAATTCTAGGATGCATCATTAGAGGGACCACCAGCAGGAGGAAGGAGGTCCTGATTCCCCTATATCAATCTTTATATCACTAGAGGGGTCACCAGCAGCAGGAAGGAGGTCCTGATTCCTCTATATAGATCTTTATATCACTAGAGGGGTCCCAAGCAGCAGAAAGGTGGTCCTGATTCCTCTATATAAATCTTTATGTCACTAGAGGCGTCATCAGCAGGAGGAAGGAGGTCCTGATTCCTCTATATCGATCTTTTTATCACTAGAGGGGTCACCAGAAGGAGGAAGGAGGTCCTGATTCCTCTATATAGATCTTTATATCACTAGAGGGTTCATCATCAGGAGGAAGGAGGTCCTGATTCCTCTATATAGATCTTTATGTCATTAGAGGGGGGGTCGTCATTAGGAGGAAGGAGGTCCTGATACCTCTATATAGATCTTTATGTCACTAGAGGGGTCACCAGCAGGGAAGGAGGTCCTGATTCCTCTATATCGATCTTTATGTCACTAGAGGGGTCACCAGCAGGAGGTAGGAGGTCCTGATTCCTCTATATAGATCTTTATGTCACTAGAGGGGTCATCATCAGGAGGAAGGAGGTCCTGATTCCTCTATATAGATCTTTATGTCACTAGAGGGGTCCTCATCAGGAGGAAGGAGGTCCTGATTCCTCTATATAGATCTTTATGTCACTAGAGGGGTCACCAGCAGGAGGAAGGAGGCCCTGATTCCTCTATATCGAATTTTATATCACTAGAGGGGTCACCAGCAGGAGGTAGGAGGTCCTGATTCCTCTAGATAGATCTTTATATCACTAGAGGGGTCACCAGCAGGAGGAAGGAGGCCCTGATTCCTCTATATCAATCTTTATAACACTAGAGGGGTCACCAGCAGGAGGTAGGAGGTACTGATTCCTCTAGATAGATCTTTATATCACTAGAGGGTTCATCATCAGGAGGAAGGAGGTCCTGATTCCTCTATATAGATCTTTATGTCACTAGAGGGGTCGTCATCAGGAGGAAGGAGGTCCTGATACCTCTATATAGATCTTTATGTCACTAGAGGGGTCACCAGCAGGAGGAAGGAGGCCCTGATTCCTCTATATCGATCTTTATGTCACTAGAGGGGTCACCAGCAGGAGGTAGGAGGTCCTGATTCCTCTATATAGATCTTTATGTCACTAGAGGGGTCATCATCAGGAGGAAGGAGGTCCTGATTCCTCTATATCAGTGGTTCTTAACCTGGGTTCGATCGAACCCCAGGGGTTCGGTGAGTCAGTCTCGCGGGTTCGGTGGAGGTGAAGACCCACACCCGACTCATATGATTCGTGCAGTAAATATTCATTATTATGTTTTTGTTTTTGTGTGAAAATCATGTTTTAATGGTTTTGTTCTTTGTTCTTAACGGTTTTGTTCATTTTGTGCACCTATGTATAAATATATACCTAAATATATACCTATGTTTTGAATTTTAAAAATCATATTTTATTTTTCCAATTAAGAAGGGTTCGGTGAATGCGCATATGAAACTGGTGGGGTTCAGTACCTCCAACAAGGTTAAGAACCACTGCTCTATATAGATCTTTATGTCACTAGAGGGGTCACCAGCAGGAGGAAGGAGGCCCTGATTCCTCTATATCGAATTTTATATCACTAGAGGGGTCACCAGCAGGAGGTAGGAGGTCCTGATTCCTCTAGATAGATCTTTATATCACTAGAGGGGTCACCAGCAGGAGGAAGGAGGCCCTGATTCCTCTATATCAATCTTTATAACACTAGAGGGGTCACCAGCAGGAGGTAGGAGGTACTGATTCCTCTAGATAGATCTTTATATCACTAGAGGGGTCACCAGCAGCAGAAAGGTGGTCTTGATTCCCCTAAATAGATCTTTAGTTAGACCTCATTTAGAATACTGTGTTCAGTTCTGGAGACCTCACTTGCAAAAAGATATTGATGAGATAGAATGAGTTCAGAGACAAGTAACAAAAATGGTGAAAGGTCTGGGGGATAAAACATATCTAGAGCGACTTAAAGGAACTTAAAATGTCCAGTCTGGAGGACAGAAGAGAAAAAGGAGACATGATTGAGATCTTTAAATACATCAAGGGGGTGAATAAGGTTCAGGAGGGCAGTCTTTTCAACATGAAACCAAAATCAAGAACACGGGGACATAACCTTAAACTAACTGTAGGAAAGTTCAAAACTAATCTCAGAAAGTACTATTTTACTGAAAGAGTAGTTGATGCTTAGAATAAACTTCCAGCAAAGGTAGTAGGCACATCAACAGTAAATAGCTTAAAAAATGCTTGGGACAAGCATAGATCTATACTCAGACAAAAAGTTAATGAAAAAAAAAAAAACAAGAATAACAACCCCCCCCCCAAACACAAAAAAAATCAACCCCCCCCCCCAAAAAAAAAAACAAAACAAAAATCCAAACACACACAAAAAAAAGGGCAGACTCGATGGACCACTCGGTCTTTTTCTGCCGTCACTTTTCTATGTTTCTATCTAATTTATACAACAATCAACTTAAGGCAGACCTTACATTAGCCAACTTATTTCCTTCAACCACTGAATGTGTTGATGGAGGAATTCTTCCAGAAGAACTTTAAAAAGGGGGTGACTTCTGCACTTACCAAGCTTACCGCAGCACTGATAAATTTCCCTACAGCGGAGCTATTGTATTGACAGCGGGAGGTTTCTCGCATTGATCACTGCTTGCAGATAGAACAGTCGGCAGTGTTAAAAAAAGAAGATAGTAATAGTAATTTAGATCAAATTAACCCTTCTAGACATTGACAGGAGGAGATTTTTCTAAGCTGTGAGATTAGTTTTAACAAAGTGAGCAAGAGGCCTACATTGACCTTTTAGTATGTCTAAAGGGTTGACCATTATGAAGATCCCAAGATACTTTAAGGTCATCACCACTTTGAGAGGGCATACTGTCAGATAATTGACATCTGGATGTAGATGCATCAATTCAGATTTTTGACAGTTATTTTTTTTTTATCCAGACTGCGTAGCAAAATGTTCAGTAATCTGCATGACTTTAAAGGGGTACCTGAGTCTTGCACACAAAGGTTAAGGCCAACTTTATTGGTTCAGTGATCTAAAATACATCTGATTGACAAATTCTGAATGCTAGAGTCTCAATCGCAAGAGAGAAGAGTAGGGGTGACATTGGGTAGCCCTACCGAGTCCCTCTGTGCAGTGGCAAGGAAGGGGATAATAAACCATTTACCAATAATGCAAAGGAACATACAAAATGGAAACCCATTTCCTGAAGTTGTCTTTTATACCAAAACATCGCAAAGAAGTTTGTAAGAGGGGCCATTCAATTGAATCAAAGGCCTTGTTGAGAGCGGCCAATGGTATCAGGGACAAAATGCTGTGATTGGGAAATTATTTTTGTCCTATGGATGTTGATGGACATGGATTTACCAGGCATAAATCCTGACTGATCCTCATGAATTATTGAGATGATAACAGAATTTAGTTTCAAGGCCAAAATTGTCACCAAGATCTTATTGTCAATGCTTAATACTTATAAAAGTGATATAGGACAGTAGGGCATACAGACCAAGGGGTCCTTACCGGATTTGGGAATAAGCAATACTGCAGCAGCATATATGGAAGATGTTAGTTGCCCTACCTGGAAGGCCTCAGAATATACCTTTATGAACACAGGGGCTGTAACATCTAAGTATCTACTATAAGTCTCCAAAGGAAGTCCATACAATCCAAATCCCTTGCGTGTAGTCAAAATATGAGACAGAATTTTTCACATCATCTTCAGTCATATTCCTATCTACAAGGGCTACCTGTTCCTATGTAACTCACTCACTGATTACGAGAGTGAAAATCATTTCAAAAATAAGATTGATGCAATTTTTATGGGCATCTCTGCTACACAGACATCAATCCCACTTAGGTCTGAGGTTTGGTATGGATTTTGAGGGGAACGCCACGTCAAATTTTTTGGGCCCCCCAAAATCCATGCCAGACCCTAATCCGAGCATGCAGGTCAGGAATAGCAGGGACGGCAATGCCCGCCCCCCCCTTAAACAATACCAGGCCATATGCCCTTAACATGGGGGGTGCTTTGGGGTAGGGGGGCTCCCACCAAAGCACCTTTTTTGCCCATGTTGAAGGGGACAAGAGCCTTTTCCCAACAACCCTGGGTGGTGGTTGTGGAGGTCTGTGGGAGGGGGGTTTATTGGAATCTGGAAGCCCTCTTTCTGCCCCGCTCATGTCAATGAGTATGGGGTACATTGTACCCATACTCATTCACCTCCCCCCAAAAAAGTGAAAGTTAGTGAAAACACATCAACAGTTTTTGACAAGCCCTTTATTTAAGAAACAGAACAAAAAAATGCCCCCCAAAGTAAATCCAGCGGCAATCATGATCAACGCTGCTGCCTATCCCAACACAAAAAGGTTCACACCCAACGCTGACTCCCACCATCTAACAACTCTGCTGCAAAATAAACAAAAGGTCAGGGAAACCCGGTGACATCAATCGTCAACTGAGCATGCTGGGTCGATGATGTTGCAAGGGGCGGGGTCACCCAGTAATGCCATTGGCCCCACCCCTTTGTTTCTTTAGCAGCTGGAGGTGGAAGTGCTGTTAGATGCTGGGAGCCAGCATCGGG